AATGTTAAAATATTGAAGACTTCATTTTCACAGAAGAACTTAAAAGAGAACTGTATATCTCAGATGATAACAACTCAAAGAATTCAACTATTCTATAGGAAATCTCACCAACAGAGACAGTGAGGTGACAATAGATGATGAAGTGCTAAATTTCTGATAATTAAAAAACCTGGACATAGTTTTATGCATGTTTTACTTGCATGCATACACATATATATATATATATATATATATATATATATATATATATATATATGTAGACTGCATGCATGCATGCCTGGTACCCTCAGATGCCAGAAGAGAAAGTCAGATCCCCTAGAACTGGAGTTAGTGCTCTTACCATGTGAACCATCATCTCTCCAGCCCTAATATTGTGATAATGTTATAATATCCATAAAGACTAATACAGTTCTGCTACATTTCATGTTGTCCAAATCAGTCAAATTGAGAACTTCTTTGTTGCCTGAAGTGGCTGTTGTGAGGACAAAATGATGGAAAGAACCTACAACTGTTCTGAAAAATTTCAAGTCATGAAATTGTTATGTACTCCAACAAGAAAAATACTTAATCTGGTTTGAGACAATGAAATTGAAGCAATTAAGAATTAAAACTCGGGTTGGAGAGATAGGTCAACACTTAAAGGCTAGGTTTACAACCTTAGAGCTCATGACATTCCCTGGGAGAAAGACAAAAGGTCTACAGGCCAGTGTCTTCTCCTCTAGACAAATAATGTACCATAGAAGGATTTGAAAGACTGAAGGAACACTCTGCTTCCTATGCTATGATACCCTCTGAACATCAACAAATGGGAAAATCCCAACTGCTCTGATAAGGTGATAAGGGCTGTGTGGGACTGAAAAGAAGCAATGATTGTGGGTGTATGATAGAAACAAAACTCTCAGATGACAAGTATAGCAGTTCTCCAAGTGGGTGGCCAGCTGTTGGGAGCAGTTATCTAGACCAGACTCTAGCAATCAGATCCTGTATGCTGGTACTATGGATACCTAGTTTCTATCCTTGGCTATGATTTGTGGCCTTGGGCAAGTCCTTTTTCCTTTCTGAATTTGCTTCTCTATGTGTAAGAAGTTACCTTGTAGCCAGTGGCTCTCAAATAATGGGTATTAGACTCACCTGGAGAAGTAAGTAGCAGATGATAGGAAGCAGCAAATTCCCCTTTGTAAATGTTTCCTCCCACTGCCAAACCATTTCCCCAAAAGGCCTGAGGCAAGGAATCTTGTTTTTATTAAATCATGCAAGAAAAGCCTTCGCCACAATATTAGTTGATTCATCGAGTATGTGGTCTGAAGCAGCTGAATCTCATAACTCTGCATTCTTTATTATACTTTAATCTAAATATTAACTAATTTCGAGTTAGTTAACTAACCATGCTCCTCCTGGTTATTTGCAATTTCTCTTAATATTGTTTTGCTATAATTAAAAATTTCTGGCCACTGTTGCATTTCTCATATGAAATAAAGGTGCTAAAGGGGCTGAAGACCAGCAGAGTTTTCCACTTTCATTACATCATGGCCTGAATATAAACGGTGAAAAGATCCTTTGAGACAAAAGGACCCATATGAATGGCATGTTCCACATCTCAGATAGGAAATAACAAAGCTATATCTTGACCACAGAGCTCCTGAAAAGTTCCTTCCAACTGCCACATGCTATCTTTCTATTCTACTGCTTCCGTTGCACGGTCTGACAGCCAAGTAACTTTCAGTTTGCTTATTCCCCAGACTCATTCTGCTATTCTTGGACATAGAGGAACTTCATTCATTTATCAACACAGTTACAGGCCACGTGCAAACCAATGCAAGAAGCAAGACGTTATGGACTCGCAACAGATTAGAACAGACTAAGCAAAGTGTTTCTCAAAATTTTAATATGCATAGAAATCTCTTATGAGGTCTTGTTAAAAATACAGATTTATATTCCAGATGTCTACGGTGGATCCTAAGAATCTGCATTTCTAACAAGCCTCCAGGAAATGCTAATGCAGAAACTGATATTTTCATTAATCCTGTTTCTAAGCATCCCCGATTACATTTGGGGTTCATTACCATTTGAAGATTTTTTTTAATTGATGAATTTTATGTATATGGGTATTGTGTCCGCATGAACTTCTGCATACTAGAAGGGGGCATTGGATCCCAATAGAACTACACTTATAGATGGTTGTGAGCTGCCATAAGGATGCTGGGAATTTAATTCAAGTACTTTTAACCGAGGAGACATCTCTCTAGCCCTGGGATTAATTTTCACTACTGCTTTGAGACCTTATGGTAAATAGAAAGCCATCTGTAGTTTCCATTCATGGACTTCTATCAATTTTTAATGTCTTCTTATGGACAAGTCATTTTCACCACCCTTGGCCTCAAGTTTCCTTATTTATAAGACAGAATTGTCAGCTATCATTTATTGATGCAATGAGGCCCAAGGAAATGGCAAAGCTATGCTGCAAAAGGAAGAATAGATTAAGACTCTTGGGTTCAAAAGAATTTTGTTCTAAGCTTTCTTTAGATTTTTAGCAAGACAACATAAGTGGTAGTGAGTGGACCATCATTCCAGATATGCTGAAAGATTATTTCCATGATGAGACTGCAGATAGAGGACATTTACACAAAAGAATCTACACAGTTAACTGAAAACAACATGAATGAGCTCAGGGATCTCATTCTTTTCCCTGATTTCACACACATAGCTCATATAGGCAATGTTCCTATGAAAATTAAGCCCTTTTTCTTCACTGACAATATCTGGTCAAGTTATCTTGTTCACTCTTGATTTTCTGTTGCTGTTGTTCCTCAAGCTTTTGTAGTCTCCTAATGTGTCAAGGTCAACTGTCTGCTGCTTCTTTAATAACAGCCTCACTCATCTATGTTCTCTCAAAAGCAATTATTTTGCAGTTGCAAAACTACTTCCTTTACTTTTCTTGTCATTAATATAGAAGAGAGGAACGTCTTGAAAAGAGAAAGATGCTTCCCTATTGTAGCCCACTACTTCCAAAGTACTCTTACATGACACTAGTTCGCTACTTAAATTGAATGCTTAGTTTTGCCCTGTGGTGGCTGGATATTCCAAAACACCTCTTTTTCAACTTGAAATATAAAAATGCAATAAAATTTCTTTTATTAAATGACCCCCTGTTTTTGTTTTTGTTTTGTTGTTGTTTTTTTTTTTTTTTTTTTTTTTTTTTTTTTGCTTTCATGGCAGAAAATTTTGTAGGGATATGACCCCAGGGCATCAAATTCCACAAAGGCACACAGAACTTTCCTGCTTCTCAGACTGTATATGTGGGTATCAACAGCCTTCTAGATGACACATGACAGATAGTGATGTACTGGGAAGGCACAGCAATGCCTGGATGGACCCTTTCTCTTTGGAAAATTACTAAGGCAAAAATTCACAGAGGCCAACTCTTACAAATTCTTCATTGCACAAGGTGAGGTTAGATGATATTTTAAAACATATTACAAATCAGATCAACTCGGAGTGAAAAGAAAATCCAACTATTTTCCCTATGGCATTCAGAGGTAGGTATTTAAACAGAGGGCATATTACTAGAGGTGGGCTGATTCTTGACTTCTGTGTCCCTGACCAATATGGGGAGGACCACTTTCCTCCCTCACTGCTGTCCTTTCCATATCGATCATGGACACAGGAGTCAAGAGTCAGCCCACCTCCAGTAATGTGCCCTCTAAATATCTACCTCTAAATGTCATAGGGAAAATTGCACAGGTACAAAGTCAGAGATGGCTGGGTAGAAATCACACTTCTAGTGTTCACTATGTCTGTCTACCACAGCCAGTAAGAGCACAAATTGGTACCTTCTTAATCTGCACAAAAAGAAGAGTACTTGCATGATTGTTATAAGGATGAAAGATTAGTTACTGGAAGTACCAAATACTCGGTGGGTGTTTAATAAGTGGTAGAACTTTTGTTGTCACTATTGGTTCAAGAATTAACAGTTCTCTCACCTACTTGATCTAGGGTGACTTAATTTCCCACAGTTATCGCTCACATATCACCTCTTGTGATCCACTCTTTTGAGTTATTATCTGTGCATCAAGCATAGGCTACGCCAATCTCATTTTATGATATATGCTTCACCACACAAATTTTGCTCTTTAAAGCAGATTGTCAAAGGGAGATACTTGTTTCTTTCTCCAAAGGGAGTTGATGGAGAAGTAGAACTACCTCCATCAACTACGCCCTGGCCTCCAAAATTGATGGCCCCACTATTCCCAGGTGAGTTTTCATCCATGTCCCAGATAACACAGCAACCATGGAACAAAGTTTCTAGATACTTTTTCCATTGGGATTGTAATGTCATTCTCTGTCTCTCAATAATAATCTAATATTTTTAGTGTTTACCAGGGTGTTTTCCCACATGTAAACAAGATTCAAGCTGTCTTTATAATCTTTCGTAGATCTGAAGCGCTACTAGCCCACTCCTGTGGCCAAGTCTTACACATGTACTTGCTATTCCATCATTAACAGAGAGACTATAGCTCTAAGACCAAAGCTCAATAAGAGCCCTGCAAGCCTCAGAGGCCGTGGCCCAGGTAGCTGCACAGAAACAGAAGCACCAACACTCTGAAAAACAGGGCTCAAAAATGTCTATTCCTCAGATTTCATACTTCTGCAAGCTTTTTACTCTAGTGTACTTTCAATGACTCTAGCAGTAATGAAAGGACCAGAGGCTTATATATTGAAAGTTTCTATTTGCTGGCAAATACAAGAGGCTCAAGAAAGAGGATAAAAGCCAATACCTCCCAAAAGAGCCATTAAAGCCACCACCTACAAGGCTCCTTGCTAGACAAATGTGGTATACTAAAAAGAAACTTATGTAGGAGCTCAGACACCTGGGATCTTGTTCTCTTGTGGTCGCTAACTTGTTCTTCATGTAAACTAAGCTGTTGTTAGTATAAATGCGTTTGAAAGTTCCTTCTAATCCAACCCTTTATGGGCTGTAAAGAGTCTTTTATCTCACGGGCTGTGGTTCTTAACCTTTATTGGGTTGCAGTCCCATTTGAAATCCAGTAGAATGTTATGAACCATCTGCTCAGAAAAGGCATTACCCTCATGGAATTGTATATGTCATCTTGGGGGCATCACGGAGTTCCAGAATCCACAGGCACTTGGCTAAGATCTGGTTTTGTTTGTTTGTAGCTGTGTCGGTTTGCTTGTTTTTCAGGAAATAAAAGAGCTTGTAAGCTAGAGGCAAATAAGAAGCCATGACAACAATTCCTTAGACTCAGTCAATCTTAACAATTTTTCCTAACATTTGACCCTTTTTTACAGAAACGATTTCTGTTTTGTTTTATTTGTTGATTGCTGGAAAGGAAGCTATTGGGTGAAGTAGGCAAAAGGAAAATCCAGACAGACCTAGGCTTTGACATGCAAAACATGCTTAGCAGATTTGTCCTCAGAAGCTGGAGGCAAAAGCAGAAAGGCTACCTTCCTAAGCCCATCCTGGGTAAGGACACTGGGTGGGAATCATTCATGCAGTCTGATTCCACCAGATTTCATTAACATGTCATGGTACCAGGGTGACAATCTGGTACTAGTTAGTGTCCATATCCTCAAAAAGAGACATGACACAATTCTCCAATGTTCAGCTAACATCCCTACTCCCTTCCAAGTAAACAATGGCCCCAACTCATGTGGTCTTTAGATCAGGGTGGGACGCCCCTAAGATTAGCCTTTAATCCTGATTCATTCAGAGTCCAATGAACTTTGAGGAGACAATAAGCTCAGAGAAGTGTGGGAAACTAGGTTCCCCTCTTCAATAGGTATTTTCACTTCAGTAGAGTTTGTTGCTTGAGAGAATCCAGCCATCCAGTGTCCTAGGAGCTGCTTACAACAGACATTCCAGGAAAAGACAGCATACAAAGGAGAAACAAACATGTGTGTCTAAAACATGTGCTCCTTATTTTATGACTTCCCAGATACTAAAGGTAAAAGGCCAGAAATGAGCTGCTCTTCAGCACCAAATGGCTCACAAGGGTTTGAAATAGACCCTTTTACAACCTCGAAAGGGTCCCTAAGGCCAAGTCCTTTCAAACCTAAAAAGGAAAGAAAAAAGTAAGGAGTTAGGTAGGCTTGGGTGAATATTTAATAGGTATTTAGCAGTAGGCTCTCTCAAGCTACTTAACCTGTAACTGGTACATAATGTGAAAAAGGGACATTATACTTCAGACTCCAAGCTACTATAATTAGCACTAGAGATTGTGCCTTTGACCCCACCTCCAATCCCTAAAATATATCGACAAGGTAAGCAAAATCCTGATACTAGAACTTCTGAGACTGCCACTCCACTCTACTCCCCTGCATCTTAGCCACTACCTTTATGGTCCTTTCAATATCGCCAAACTTCCTTTAAGCAGGCCTTCATTTTTAAGGCTGATAAGGAGTGGCTTATCTATCTCTAGGCCGTGGAGGACTGGCAGTGACAGGAAAAAAAAAGAGAAGGCTAAGGAGCACATGGCAAGCCAAACTCCAGATACTTGGACCTCATTAATGTGCATATTGGTTCATGTCATGCCAGAGATCTGATAACTAAGCAATCAAAAGTTCTACGCAGAGAAAGACATTTCCCTGACCCCCAAGTCTCCTGTGACCTTAGCAAGTCACTTATCCCCTCTGAACTTAAGTTCCTTTGTTTGTTGAGTCAGAACACATAGTATCCTCCTTATTTCTGGCATGTGATGTGAATCAAATGAGATCATGGATATGAAAGTTCTACGCACTAAAATAAAATAAAGGACCAAAGATGATGGTTCAGGTAGGAAGAACTGAAATTGTGACTTGGTCTGAAGGGATGAAGTCCCACTGTAGACACTTTCACATTTGCTATTATCAAAAGGGATGTTGCTGGCTTCCTTATAGACTCAAAGAATGGCAGCCAGAAAGTTCCATCACCTTTTTACAAACATCACATTTTACAAACAGAAATTGAGATTTGGAAAGAGAACTGTACTTGGCCAAGATATCTAGCCTGGGATTTCTAATGAATTCAATTGAAAGGCAATCTTAAAATAATGTAGCTGGGGGAGAACTTCAAATCATATAAAAACTCCACAAATGAAATAAGTTTAAGGGATATGCAATATTAGGGTGGTGAACTGAGGTATGGAGTAAGTTCCCACCCTCTGGACATATGTGGAATTCTAGTCTTCAAATCCTAGATGCCATGAAAAGGGCTTATTTGAAGAATGTTTTGTAATGAAGGGTAGAAACAACATACCTGTGGCCTCAGCTTTCATCTCCAGGAAGTTTCCCTTGAGAACTGGGGGCACAAGAAAAGATATTTCAATTAAATTAGGACTAAAAAGGCTAATGCCAAAATATCACTTGATTGGTGGGAAATTATTCTGCTCAGATGTTTTAGTTCCATTCTTCTGGGCTGAGAAGGTTTAGAGAATTCAGTATTCTAGCCATGAAGCCACCTTTCAGGTATTAAAACAGTCTTTTGAGTGCTAGACTATGGGAGACTAGATATAATAGAGAAGCTGGCCCAAGACCACAGTTTATATCACTACTGGTGAGAAGGGAAAGAAGGCAGGGGAAGTACCATATGAAAAATAAATCCTCCTTTGTTGTATATTTAAAAAAAAAAAAAAAAAGCTTTGCTCAGCCTGTTCCTCAGCCCTACATTAGCCTTACTTACTCAGCTTAAAACTAGGGGAAACAGACAATCACAGAGAATAAATCCCCAACAATATGGCCAGAGCATCCCACATAACAGCTGGTCCCCACAGCTATATCCACAGCCTTCTATTTTCCACCCATCTCTTGAAACTACTTTGATGGGATATATATATATGTATATATATATATATCATATTGGTTAATGAATAAAGCACTGTTGGCCAATAGGAAGGAAGGTAGGAGGGACTAGGAGACAAGGAGGAAAGAAGAAGTAGTAAGGAGGAGTCAACATGGAGAGTCTGGAGAAGGCAGAACCGCCAGCCGCCTCTCGCTGGTAAGACCACATGGAAATACATAGAAATGGGTTAATACTTAAGACAGAGCTAGCCGATAAGAAACAAGTAACTGGCAAAAAGCATAATATCAAATACAGAGTCTCTGTGTGTTATTTGGGGCTGGCGCAGCGGCGGGACAAGACTCATCGGCGGGCAGAAAAAATCCTACTCCTTACACTACTTATAACTAGTTGCCTCAATTATCTTGTTCCTATTCATGGTTCCAATTATCCCCACCCCCCCACACACACACAGGAATGAATAATTCCCCACACTAGAGTTCTATAATACAGTGGTTGTACCTAACAGATCTATTACTAAATCTACACAAGCTCCACCCTGACAAGTAGTTTGACTTCTAGTTTCTCACTACTCACACTGTCTACACAGTCAAGCTTTGAAATTGAGAGCAAATGTCTCACAAAACCTGTTTCTTTATAATTAATTGTTATACCATCTACCATATTACCCAAGTTAGACTTATCTCTCTCAGCACTTCCACAATATCTCACATTTGAAAAGTCTGCAGGGTCTGTTCGAACTGATCTCATATCTGTCCTTGTATTCCATTCCCACAGCAACACCTTAGGTCAGGACTTTCAGCAACTCTTGACAGCAGGATTTGTTTCCTAATTGGTCTCCTTGCTTCCAGTCTTTACTACCAGGGTGATCTTTTTACAACTCAGCCTGCTCAGAATGTGCACCACCACGTAAATATCTTCCATGACCTGCCCCCAGCGGACTACAATATAAAGAGCAAACAACTTAATATGTCATACAAGACCTTTACAGTCAGGCTCTAATCCACTGTCCAGGTTTTACTTTTAGCTAAGCTTTCTATTTTCTCCCCCACATTATAGACAAAGTGGGACACTAATCACTTTTGAAGCTGTATTTGGCTTATGAAATATTCTCTCCTCTCTTCTCAACCTGACAAATCTCTAATAAGGTTTCATTTGAGTTTTTGTTCTTTTTAACTGTTGAAGACGGCAAGGGAATGAGGAACAGATGCTATCAAAATGGCAGGCTGCAGTCAAGTATGTAAATGGAAAAATAAAAGAGGCAAGACAATGGTTAAACAGCTCAGCATTTTTTATTTGCCATGTTAGAAGAGGTTAACAATAATGACCATGTAAAGGATTAGCCACATGAAAAGTAACATCTTGCTCAGTGGCCAGCATGTGGCTACACTAAGTAGTGGTGGATTCGAGGTGAGAGGAATGTATTTTTCCTATGTAGCTTCTGAATAAGAAGAACCTACAGGTAGCCAGGATGGCATACTGAAGGCAGGTGTAGTTTCATCTTACCTATGTTCCCTTCAATGTGATTCTTAGGACACAGAACAGGATTAAGCCTAGGTTCTAGAAGCCCAGATAATGAATGGATAGGATAGCAAAGATTGAAGTCCCTGCTTTGGCTAAGGTCTTCTGGCCTTGTGCTTAGTCTAACTCTGCCCTGGGCAGTGGCTGAAAAATCCCAGCCCATTGGCAATGTTACCAATATTTCTAAGCCCTCAACATCAGTTTGGTAATACTTTTCCCACTGAAAGTTAGCCTGTGCTAAGAATTCTACTGAATTTTATTTATGCCTCTTAAATATTCCCTTCTTGATGCCCTGACAGCCTATTCTAAAATATAGTTTAATCCTCCAAATTTTGCTGTGTATATTTGATCAAGTATTAACTCTTCCCAAAAGCTTTATTTTCAACATGCCCAATTCTTTCTATTCATTCCAGTTTTATTTACTTCAGCTTTTCTGGTGTTACTTTTTCAAATGATTTCTTTATTCTAGGGAGAGAAAATGGATACCAAGAAGTAGTGCTAGCCATAGGAGATAATGTTATTAGGAATCTCTCTTTCGCCTTCTGCCCCACCCCACTCCATGGACACCAAGGCTTCAAGCATGATGTGTAAATATTTTAGCACTGAGCTATAATCCCTAGATACAAATCCAAAACCTTTATATCTTCTTTCCCCTGATAAAATAAATTAGGGACTTGACCTCACTTTCATCTGTTACAGTAAAATACATGATAAGTTATTTTCTAAACAGAATTTGACTGAATCCAGAGCTGCCTGTGACTGCCAAACTAACCATGGTAACTTGTCATGTAGAATCGCATGCTGGTGAATTAGATCCCATGATATTGTAAGAGGATGTCAAACCTATCCTGGCTCCATTGGTGGTAAAGGTGTGTTGTTCTGCTTTTAACTGACTACCTAGAAGAGTTATCTCTTGTTCTTGGCCAGGAAATATAACTTTAAAAAATAAATCTATGATTAGCCACATGGAACAAACTCACAGCAAACACCTTGAAGACTAAGCAACCATTCCACCAGGTGCTTTTGTGCAAATGCTCCCAAATGCCCAGGGCTTGAACAGTTTGTACCAGCATTTGAAAAAATATAAAAACAAATTGAAGGAAAGATGAACAGAAGGAAAAGAAAGAGAGAGGAAATCAGGGAGGGGAACCTCAAAAGTAGGGAATAATGGATTCTTAGGTTCCACTCAAAAGATCAGTTTTAGTAAGTGTAGAGTAGAAGCCAGAAATCTGGAACATTTTTTTACAAATTTTCAAGATGTTTAGATAGGTAGTCAGCTTGATAATTATTGTTTGAGTCAGCTATTTACCTTTGAAATGTGAGCCACACATACTGAGTCCATAGACAATAGAATGCTATATTCTACATTCCTTTGCCAGATGTCCTTATACACTATGAAATCTAAATAAGAAAAACAACAACAAAAATACCTTCATTGGGTGTAAGGTGTTTTTCCAATATAGCTTGAGATATGTGCTTGCTAGTTTTATGTCAAATTGACATAAGCTATAGTCATCTCAAAGGAGAGAGCCTGAAGTGAGAAAATTCCTCCATAAAATCAGGCTTCAGGGAAGTCTGTTGATTATTTTTTAATTAGTGATTGATGGGGGAGGGCTCAGCCATTGTGTGAGGTACCAGCCAAGGGCCAGTGGTCCTGGGTTGTATAAGAAATCAGGCTGAGAAAGTAATGAGGAACAAGCCAGTAAGCAGCTCTCCTCCATGGTCTCTGCATCAACTCTTGCCTCCAGGATCCTGCCCTGCTTTTGTTCCTGTTCTTATTTCCTTCATTGACAAACTATGGTATGTAAATGTAAACCAATCAAACCCTTTCTTTTCCAAGTTACTTTAGTCATGATGTTTCATCACAGAGAAAAAAATAATCCTAATAGGATAAGATGTGTGCACACACAACAGTGTACATGCACATGTATGTCTGTGAAGGAGAAAGATAAACAGAACAAATGGAAAAAATAAATAAGAAAAGAGACAATAAAGACAGAAGTTAAGAAAAACAAGAAGGGTGTCACAAAGAGAACACTGGCAGAGAAACACAAAAAGTGACAGAAACTGAGAATGGCATAGACACATGTAAGAATAAGCAAGAGAAAAAGATAGGACACAGATGAGAAACAGAAGCCAATCTACAATATGTGCAGGAGAAAGAGGTGGGAGAAGAAAGGGAGAGTAAAGGAGAGATTGGGAGAGAACAAAAACTATAGAGAAACAGAAAATGAGATGGGAAGAGATATACTTGGTGCATTTATTCAAAACTGCAATTTGCCCATTCTTCTGTTTCCTGTGTCTCTTACCTTCCAGTTTTCCGTGATGCTGTTTCAAAGAATCTTGTCCTGGATGCCACCCTGCAAATAGAAGCCAACCAAGTATGATGAGTTCCAGAGAAATACATGTGCAAACCAAGGAGGAGCAATGAAAAGGACGTGACACTCTACCAGATAGGAACCAATACCAGGCCCTAAGGATTAAGGCAAAACTTGAATATCAGAATAAGAAGTGATTCCGAGGCCATAGGCACCCCAAGGCAACAAGTAAGACCCTTTACTACTTATGACCCAGAATGGTCAAAGTTTGTGGCCCATTCAGACTGGTCCTTAAAAAAAATGAAAGTAATCTTTGGTTTCAAAGTATGGCTTAGGGCACTTTGTAAATAAGCTTTGGTAATTAGCTGAAGTTGTGGAAGCTTTGTTCTTTTCCTCATTTTGCAATTTTGGGAAATAAAAGGCATAAAAAAAAGGAGGATTGAGAGGCCATGTGCTAAGAAGTGTCCAGTGAAACAATCTGAGGAGCATCAGAGGAGAGGTCAGGAAGACTGGCTATGACCAAGCAAAGCTGGATCCTTGGTCAACTTCACCCCTGGCTCCCCAGCTCACTGCCCATCCATCAGAGGGCCTACTGGATGTCAGCTCTGCTCCTGTCCTACCAGAGGATCTTTAGAGGACCTGAGTCATTCTGGAAGATTTTTTTAATGTACCCTTTTCTTGAAAGAAGAAAGAAAGAAAGAAAAGCCCTAGTGCCCAAGCACAATGACAAAAAGAAATGTGCTCATTAAATTACTTTAAAACCAATAGCAATAAAAGAAAATAAAAGATTTCTAGACCAAAAAACTGAAAGTGATTTTTACTATTCTAGAGACATCAGAACAGCTAAGAAAAAAATGGGTCTTTGTGTAAGACTTTGAAAACGTCTTCATCTGTAGTGAAATAGCTCAGTTTTTTGGGTGGTGAATGGAATTTTCCACACAAAGATGGCATTGGGTAGTCTTCGAGATTATGAAGAGAATTATGTCCAGAACTCTGTACTGTATACACTTAGCAACCAGAGATGGCGACCCCAAAGGCACTTCTCATGGCAAACACAAGCCTTACATCAAATTGAGGGAAACATTACTTACACAGATGATGGGATTTCCCCTGCATTACCAGCTACAGTGTCTGGCTTTGGTTCTGGCTTTTGTGAAGTACTGGCCCGGCAAGGAGGGTCTGGTGGCCTCACAGGAGGACGGATGATTGTTTGCTTTTCTCCTGGGGGCCGAACTTTGCTGAAACAGTCAGTATCTCCTAGAAGAGAAAACAACACCAAGGACATAAATAGTCACCCAAATAGAACAGTAAGCATCAGTAGTAGGTGAACTGGGGCTGGCTGGACCATCTTCTCTGATTCCCATTTACTTTTGACTAACAACAACTCTTTATTTTGGTTTTAAAATTCTTCTGGCTGCTGACCTTTAGAAAGCCTACATTTAAACATGGATGTACAATTTCATGTACCTTATGTTTGTTATGAATTTACTAATTCTACATTTCCTTCTCTTTATAATTCATAGTAGCAACACACTAGTTTACAGAAATTGAAGGAATTAAGTTAGGAACTAATATTTTCACTACAGTGCTAGCCACATATTAGGTGGTAGATGCCACATCATAGGTGATTGATGAGGAAGTTGAAATTGATAAATATATCACCACTAAAGTTCAGGTCCTGAGAGTTGAAAATGGCTTAGCAGGTGAAAGTACTTACTGCTCTTGCAAAGGACCCAAGTTGGGTTCCCAACACCCATGTCAGGAGGCCTACAACACAACCTGTAACTCCACATCCAGGTGACCCAACATTTCTTCTGGACTCTGTGGACAATTCACTCATGTGCATAGCTACATACATATGTACATTTAATTAAAACTAAAATAAATCTACAAAAGGTCCAGGCCCTTATCAGTACTAAAGTATGCTCCTAACTTACCTACCTACCTCCACATTTCTGGCTTATAGATTACTCAGAAGAAATAAACATATATATTTTATGAAATGCTACTGACAGGATTAGGTAAAACAGATGTACTCACACACTGCTGGTGGCACAATAAATTGGACTTATTCTATCTAGATACCTATCAAGCATTCTGGAACAATGTGGATGAAACTCAAAATCATGCACAGGCAATAATGTATACTTGTTTATCCAGTAATTCCATGTTGAAAAAAATAAAAGCTCAAAGTAATTCATCCAAGATAAAAAAAAAAATAAGAAAAACCAATGGCACAAAACATACTCTAATATCAACACATCAGGCACAACTACAAAGGCTAAACAATTTACTCTTCCAAGCAATTAACCAATACATATTACATATAAACTGACAAGAATTTGATAGGGTCAAGATAAAAATATGTACACCATAGCTGGACATGGTAGCTCACATCTGTAATCCCAGCATTGAGGAGTCTAACTGAGCAGGATTGACATTAGTTCAAGGATACCTTGACCTACACAGTGAATTCCAGGCCAGCCTAAGCTATGGAGTGAGACTGTCTCAACAAATGAAGGAAACAAAACCCCACACAGTAAGTTCTTGTGTCCCATTGAAGACAATATAGCCATATGTGTAACAATGCAAGTACACTAGATCTTGATGTGTGCTTACTGTTAGGAGATTTTGATTGCCATTCTTTCTGTAAGATGTTTAAAGTAAAAATAAAAACATTAAATTCCATCTATATGATAGTGCTTGCTATAGTAGTTACTTATGTTTACAGTTTTATGTATGGAGTAAGAGTATTTCCGCCTGCCACTGGTCTTGTCCCATTGCCACGCCAGCCCCAATTAACACACTAAGACTCTGTATTTGATATAATGCTGTTGGCCAGGTACTAGTTTATCAGCTAGCTCTGTCTTAAGTATTAACCCATTTCTGTTGATCTATGTATTTTCACGTGATCTCCTTACCGGTGAGCCGGACAGCATTCTGCTTTCTCCAGACTCTCCATCTTGACTCCTCCTTACTACTTCCTCCAATCCTCCTAGCCAACAGTGCTTTATTCATTAACCAGTATGAGAAACATATATACACAATGGCATCTCTCATCATCTCCTCTTTTCTGTCTAACTAAAAAGAAGGGTTTTAACCTTAACATAGCAAAATATATCACACAACAGTTACCAAATAAGAATCATAGTTAACAATATTTAGTCCATTAACATTTAATAAGATTTAAGAAAATATTTCAGTATCTATTTTATTTTTGTGAGTCTAAAGTCCTATATGTAACTTATCTTTAATCCTAATTAAGGAAGACTATAACCATAACTATAAGTCTTCAACTCCTTCAAAGACCACAGAAGGATAGTATATAAACTCTAGAAATGACAGAGACATCTTGCCTTGTCAGTCACTTGAAGTTTTTTTTTTTTTTTTTTGTAATCTTCCATCTTCAGCCCATGGGCCATAGTGTGTTTGGCAGACTCTTCAGCAAAGTAGGAAACTTTAAACTGTCTTCTTGTATTGACAGTTTGTCAGTCACTTTTCTCTGTGTTCTGCAGACTGTCTGGCAGACTCTTCCATGAAGCAGGAACTCTGTAGTAATGTCCATCTTGAATCAGCAGTCACTTTTCTGTGGGTCCTGCATGTCCCATAACTCTTCCTGGATCACTCCATCCTCTCCCCCCTTTCAAATTTGTTTCCTCCTTTTTGTTTTTATAAAACCTACTGATTCTGATTTGTGTGGCTCACATACTTCTTAATATGGGGATCATCCAATAGAGTGTGTTTGCTCTACCAGGAGCCATAGTATAAAGAAAACTGATTTTCTTTTATGGGGAGGAGGGGGATAAATATGATAATATTGTATGCAAATGTGAAATTTATAAAAATTAATAAAAATACCATGATTATGTTTTCTAATAATCAGCTCAAATCTGGGCTACATATTTTTAAAAACCCATCCACTGAAAAATCTCAAGGGAAAAGGTAGGATTCTGATAGTATACTAGTAGAGGAATGAGAAAATTATTATTCCTGTTTACAGATAGAATTTCTATCTCCCCATCTAGGCTCTATCTTACATTTATGGACATGCTATTCCATTTAGTACCTCGTTGTTTTGTTTTGTTTTGTTTTGTTTTACAATTGAATTAGAAAAAATAATCAAAGTAATAAAATAGATTTTTTTCTAACAAATTTATACTGTTTGAAACATTTTTCCATATGATGTTCATAGTAAGCTAAGAAGAAATAAATAGAGACTTTGTGTCATCTCTACTTTATGGATATGGAAACTGGGACTCAGAATGGTAAATCCGCATATCCATTACCTATATGGTTATATTAGAATAATGATTGAAATTCTTATCTTCTGTTTCCATACCCACTACTTTCCATGGTGACTGTTATATTACCATTATTTGTAGTAATATAAAATTGAAAATGATAACAGTAAAAGTATGAGTAAAACAATAGTTACTAATTATTTTTATTGGTTAATTTTGCAGTACAGGAAGAAATTACAGGGTCTCACATAGTTCCAGTTCTTGCTGAGTATATTATCAAACACCAGTTCTTTTCCAAGTATTGTAACACTGTATTTTTTACAGTATTCATAGTTAAGATTGGCCATCATTCTGTACAAATGTTATGCCTTGGGAAAGATACTCCAAAATGAAAAGGAATCTCAAAGTTTACCATAACATATCTATGAGCATGTGATTTCTGAAAACTATGTAGTTCCAGTTATCAGTGTTGCAGTGGATTTCAACCCTGGCTATACACTAGAACATATGAAGACCTTTAAATATACAGTACTCAGATCTCATCCTCAATATTCCTAGTTTGACTGGGGTAGGACTTGCATATGAGTATTTCAGTGTTGATCATGGGTAGTGTGAGCTGTAAAGTTGAAAGCCACACAACACTGCTTCCTCATTGCAGGTCACAGATGACCAGAGATGACAGCAATATCCTATTTCTACTAGATACTGGAGTGGGGAGTTTGATACAAAAGATACTACACTTTCAGAGCCAGAAACTATTTCTACCCAAAGTCATGCCTATACCAGGGCCCATTTCTTTGGATGAGGACGGCAGATATCACCCTCAAAACAGTAACCTCATTCATTACCTTTAGTGCCACATCCAAATGGACATCTAACTAGGGCCTGGAAAGTAAGCACCATTAACTGTTTGTCTGATTAGGCCCTTTTTATATGCAACTTCAACTTGATGATTCATTACAAGTCATGCTTTGAAGTAACAGCAAAGAGTTTTCTTGGCTGAAAGACCCCGGTGTTGTTCTTTCTTGCCTCTAATTTGTCTCAGTCACAGTTAAGCCACAATGTCAAACTGGCAAGGCACAGAAAGAAGTCATCTAACTAGGAGTCAAGAAACCTGGATTCTCATTTTAATACTGAAACTAGCTTGTGTTAGTCAGCAGTTCATTTCTCTGCCAGTACAATATGAGGATTGGACTGTTTCTGCAGATGAATCAGCAGATGCTATCAGTCTATAAACCTTTACCTCTCTCTGATGACTTTTGTATCCTGCTCTGGGAATACTATGGAAGTATCTATCAGTTTCTTCTACTTATTAATCAGTCTCTTCCTTCCTTCCTTCTTTTCTTCCTTCCTCCCTTCCTTCATTTCTTCCTTCCTATCCTTCCTACCTACCTTTCTTCCTCCCTCCCTCCTACCCTCTCTCCCTTTCTTCCACTTTCATATTACTCTCAAGAAATGTATTTTGATTTCATGGCCCCCTGTTGCCTGCAGACAATATCCAAATGCTTAAGTTGGCACTCACTACCCTCTTCCATTGGGCTTCAGCAGTCTTTTCTGATCTAGATTTCCACCATCCTTCATATATGCTACAATCCAGACATTATTATTTATTGTTCTGTGTGCATGTCTTGCAATTAATCATCTTTCCAAGATCCTCTTTATCCTATTCCCACATGCCCAAATTTGCATCCACTTAAGTGACATGTCTCTTAGGAAGCTTAAGATTCTCCAAGTTCCTTTCTGTAGCTCCTACAGCACTGGTTGTCTTGTACTTTGAATCTGGTACTTTGGCTCTTTGTTTTCATGGCTCTTTCTCCCCTATTAGAATTTGAGCAACTTGAGAGCAAGATCCAGGTGGGACTCATCTCTGTATCCCCAAGAGACCCAAGTAAATTGCTCTTCGTGTAACCAGCAGATATTCAACAAATATTTATTGAGTAAAGAAAAATGCAGTTCAGTCTTTTAGAAGGACAGTGGAGAAAGCTTTCCTTTTTTAGGCTTCCAACTGAGCTTTGT